AGGTTGAAACTCCATGCATCAAACAAACTCTGTGCGTGCAGGCCAGCAGTCTACTTAAAAATATATAAGAAGAAGCACGAATAAAGCTCTAGGACCTGAAATTTGGACTTGTTCGTTAGAAATCAATTTAATTAGAATTATGGACTGCCTTTGAATGAAGTTTAATCGGACTTTAAGTTGATTGAACAAAGTTTCAAGGTGTAGGCCTACCTTTTTTGCGCTGTGGAAGCCTAATTTAAGAACGGCGAAATAATATTTTTTGAAAAGGATACTCTGATTTTGTTATGAAGATTGTTGCTTTTGGATTTGATATGGATAGGCTAGTCCTATATATTACCAACTAGGGGCAGCCTCGAAGTTGGATGATTGGCTCTTTTTAGAAATTGTTTTCCCATGTATTTGTCACACCCATGCATAAGCTGCGTGTATGCTAAGTCCAGAACATATGGGTATAATCACATTAATTAATTAATTTAAAGTACAATGATAATGACAAATATTAATGGCCTCATGTCGGAATGGCAGGACGTTTGAAAAAAAGTAAAGTGCCGCTACTCAGACAATGGGGAAAAAAAATTGTCGCAGTAGTGGGACGCTTGGAAAATAATATTAATGCCGCCACTCCGACCACTAGACGTCAATGTCTAAGTAGCGGCATGTCGGAATAGCGGCATGTAACCGAGGTAGATTGCATACCCTACATCATTCTCCAACAGCCACCTGAAGGATTTCCCCTTGTACTTGCCGAACTGCAAAATGTAATCTCCCAGCACCTCTATGTTGGGCATTCTGTCTAACTGTGGCCTCATTTAGAGGTCCCTTGCGAAAAACAACCTTCAAGTGAAGGGTTTTTCCATGCTGGCCTGTGACAAATGTGGAAAAAAAAAGTATACAATAAGCATGTATTTCTTCTTAAACATTAGATACTAATAGGGAACTTTTTGACCTTTGAGAACAATAAAACAGGATAAATTAAATTATTTTATTGAAGTGTATGAGCTTCCATGAGTGATCCAAAATGTAGAAAATAATTAAGTTTTTTCTGAATTTCTGCACCGGATTTTAATATATAGAAGCTAGAATTTGTAATATATAGCTTTAGGTATTTAAACTAACAAATCACTCAGGGCTGGTCCCCCTTTACAATGATGTTGAGTAACATTTTAAAATGATTAACTATATATATATATATATATATATATATATATATATATATAATATATAAAATATTAAAACAGAAATAAATGTAAGAAAACAATTCCTTAATTAAACATTAATAACATATTTTAATAATTGTAGGTACTTGTGAGGGATGTCAGATGCACCAGCACATAAAACACTCAGAGGTCAGGCAATCATTAAACAATCTTTATTTAATTCATTATTAAAAAGGGATAAGACACAGGTTCTAAGAGGGGGGGGCGAATTAGAGCGCCAGAACTGGCAACACAGGCAGGTGTAGACGTCACTATAAAAACGGTGCCACAAAACACTTCATCATAAGAGGCACACACAGCACAATTCACCACCAAACGGTACACAACACACCACAGCAGAGGAGCAGTCACTGCAAACCCGGGGATGCACTTCAAACAACACTACAATAATAGCCACGCCCCTAACTGTATACTGGAACCAATCCCCGTGCCACCCCCAACCTGGCACACGTCAGTCCCTCCCGCTTTATTCCCCGCCTCTACCTGAAGCATTAAAACAAAGAGTTCATAAAATGGGTTAACTGAACTTGCGGGTTCGGCGAGCTTGTGGCACCGTCCAACTCCCCGGGGGACCACAGCTTCGTCGGACGGCACAGGCTTGCAGCAGGCAGACAAACAGCAGCAGCAGCAGGTGACAGAAGCCCAAAGCGGCGTGCTGAAGGCAACAGCAGAGCTGGAGAGCGGTGGCGGCTGGCGCTCCTATTGCCCGACCCTAGCTACCTAAAGGAAGCGCGAGCCTCCCCTCCTGACACTGATAATTCAGACTGAATCCCCTACTCAGCTATCTTCATCGTCGGCAACCCTATCAGCTGCGGACGACACCCTCCCTCCTAGAGTGAACACAGCCACACACGAGACAGACAGTGCACTCTCCAGACACGACGACAAACAATGCATCGCTCCCTCTTTTCAGTCCCAGAGTCAAGCATCCACAGGTGCGCAATCATACACGGCTGCAGCCGATCAGCTTAATCAGGTTCTCCAGTCCCAGAGTTCAGAACAGCTGACCAGTTCACCAGCTGACCATCACAATATATAAGACAAAAGAAAACAAGTTCACACAGGTTGAATAACGTAAATTACTGGGTTTTTTGGGGGGTTTTATTGCTTTTATTATAGGACAGCTGGAGATAGACAGGAAATGGGGGCAGAGAGAGAGAGGGGATGACACGCAGCAAAGGGCCGCAGGTTGGATTCGAACCCGGTACATGGGTCGCCAGCTCTACCCACTGAGCTATCCGGGCGCCATAAATTGCTCTTAATTATTAGTTATGAGAAATCTTGGAACAGTTAAACCAGTGGTTCTCAACCTTTTTTCAACCAACGGGGGGGGTGCGTGCGATCGTAGTGCACATTATATCCGTAGTGGTTTAGCACTACCATACAGAATGAATGGGAAACGGTTTAGGAGCGTTTAGCTTAAGAATTCACGGTCGCCCCGCGGGAGGCCGGAGTTCGATTCCCGGCCAATGCAGCTTCCGTCACAATGTGGCCGGGAATCGGAATCACAATGTAAAAATAGTGGCCCGAATTGAGGCACTTCAATAGGTTTACTCAAAAACTTTGTCAGAAGTGGGATTCGAACCAAGTCCTCCAAGGGAGACTGCGATCTGAACGCAGCCAAGTCGCAGTTGTAATGTGAAAACTGGCCATAATTCGGCCACCTCTTGCGGAATATCTGGTCAATGTGAGATTGACACAGGAAGACACACTCTTTACCACAGCCAAGTCGCAATTTTAATGTGAAAACTGGCCGTAATTCGGCCACCTCTTGCGGAATATCTGGTCAATGTGAGATTGACACAGGAAGACACTCTTTAGATCCCTTTCGAATCACAATGTAATAAAATTGGCCCGAATTGAGGCACTTCATTAGGTTTACTCAAAACCTCTGTCACAAGTGGGATTCGAACCAAGTCCTCCAAGGGAGACTGCGATCGGAACGCAGCCAAGTCGCAGTTTTAATGTGAAAATTGGCCGTAATTTGGCCACCTCTTGCGGAATATCTGGTCAATGTGAGATTGACACAGGAAGACACACTCTTTACCACAGCCAAGTCGCAATTTTAATGTGAAAACTGGCCGTAATTCGGCCACCTCTTGCGGAATATCTGGTCAATGTGAGATTGACACAGGAAGACACTCTTTAGATCCCTTTCGAATCACAATGTAATAAAATTGGCCCGAATTGAGGCACTTCATTAGGTTTACTCAAAACCTCTGTCACAAGTGGGATTCGAACCAAGTCCTCCAAGGGAGACTGCGATCGGAACGCAGCCAAGGCGCAGTTTTAATGTGAAAATTGGCCGTAATTTGGCCACCTCTTGCGTAATATCTGGTCAATGTGAGTCGCACAAGTCTAAACGTGAGATTGACACAGGACAACTCACTCTCTATATCCCCTTCGAATCACAATGTAAAAATAGTGGCCCGAATTGAGGCGCTTCATTAGGTTTACTCAAAAACTGTCAGAAGTGGGATTCGAACCCACACCTCCAGGGGAGACTGCGACCTGAACGCAGCGCCTTAGACCGCTCGGCCATCCTGACATGGAATTTACACATTCACCAGAGTTGATCGTTGGCTTGAATTAAAACATCAGTGTCTTCTTCTGCACCGATGCCGTGTTGTCCAAGTATAATGTGCCATTGATTGTGTTGGGGAGTGTCAGTAAAAACCCTCTCCTCCCCGTCGGGGAATTGAACCCCGGTCTCACGCGTGACAGGCGGGGATACTGACCACTATACTAACGAGGAACACAAGTGCATTGCACATTCCTCGTCACGGTCAAATACTTTCAGTCCTACAATTTTAAATATGAGGTTGAGACATGACGGGATCCAACACCAGCGAAATCGGGCATTGGTGGTTCAGTGGTAGAATTCTCGCCTGCCACGCGGGAGGCCCGCGTTCGATTCCCGGCCAATGCAGCATCTGCTTTAGCACACTTAGTGGTAGAATTCTCTTCTGTAGTGAGGGTGGCCGGTTCCGATTCCCCGGCGAATGCAGCTTCCGTCACATTGTGGCCGGGAGTCGAAATCACAATGTAAAAATAGAGGCCCGAATTGAGGCACTTCATTAGGTTTACTCAAAACCTCTGTCAGAAGTGGGATTCGAACCAACTGTGATCTGAACGCAGCCAAGTCGCAGTTGTAATGTGAAAACTGGCCGTAATTCGGCCACCTCTTGCGGAATATCTGGTCAATGTGAGATTGACACAGGAAGACACTCTTTAGATCCCTTTCGAATCACAATGTATGCATTAGGTTTGCTTAAACACTGTCAGAAGTGGGATTCGAACCCACGCCTCCAGGGGAGACTGCTACCTGAATGCAGCGCTTTAGACCGCTGATGGCCGGCCAATTGAGCCCAGTTGTTTGATCGATTAAGAGGTGTAATGTGAAAACTGGCCATAATTCGACCACCTCTTGCGTAATATCTGGTCAATGTGAGTCGCACAAGTCTAAACGTGAGATTGACACAGGACAACTCACTCTCTATATCCCCTTCGAATCACAATGTAAAAATAGTGGCCCGAATTGAGGCGCTTCATTAGGTTTACTCCAAAACTGTCAGAAGTGGGATTCGAACCCACGCCTCCAGGGGAGACTGCGACCTGAACGCAGCGCCTTAGACCGCTCGGCCATCCTGACATGGAATTAACACATTCACCAGAGTTGATCGTTGGCTTGAATTAAAACATCAGTGGCTTCTTCTGCACAGATGCCGTGTTGTCCAAGTATAATGTGCCATTGATTGTGTTGGGGAGTGTCAGTAAAAACCCTCTCCTCCCGGTCGAGGAATTGAACCCCGGTCTCCCGCGTGACAGGCGGGGGATACTGACCACTATACTAACGAGGAACACAAGTGCATTGAACATTCCTCGTCACGATCAAATACTTTCAGTCCTACAATTTTAAATATGAGGTTGAGACATGACGGGATCCAAAACACCAGCATAAACAGGCGTTGGTGGTTCAGTGGTAGAATTCTCGCCTGCCACGCGGGAGGCCCGGGTTCGATTCCCGGCCAATGCAGCATACACTTTAGCACACTTAGTGGTAGAATTCTCTTCTGTACCGAGGGAGGCCGGCCAATGCAGCTTCCGTCACAATGTGGCCGGGAATTGGAATCACAATGTAAAAATAGTGGCCCGAATTGAGGCACTTCATTAGGTTTACTCAAAACCTCTGTCAGAAGTGGGATTCGAACCAAGTCCTCCAATGGAGACTGCAATCTGAACGCAGCCAAGTCGCAGTTGTAATGTGTAATTCGGCCACCTCTTGTGGAATATCTGGTCAATGTGAGATTGCCACAGGAAGACACACTCTTTAACGCAGCCAAGTCGCAGTTGTAATGTGAAAACTGGCCATAATTCGGCCACCTCTTGCGGAATATCTGGTCAATGTGAGATTGACACAGGAAGACGCTATTTACATCCCTTCCGAATCACAATGTAAAAAAATTGGCCCGAATTGAGGCACTTCATTAGGTTTACTCAAAACCTCTGTCACAAGTGGGATTCGAACCAAGTCCTCCAAGGGAGACTGCGATCGGAACGCAGCCAAGTCGCAGTTTTAATGTGAAAATTGGCCGTAATTTGGCCACCTCTTGCGGAATATCTGGTCAATGTGAGATTGACACAGGAAGACACACTCTTTACCACAGCCAAGTCGCAATTGTAATGTGAAAACTGGCCGTAATTCGGCCACCTCTTGCGGAATATCTGGTCAATGTGAGATTGACACAGGAAGACACTCTTTAGATCCCTTTCGAATCACAATGTAATAAAATTGGCCTGAATTGAGGCACTTCATTAGGTTTGCTTAAACACTGTCAGAAGTGGGATTCGAACCCACGCCTCCAGGGGAGACTGCTACCTGAATGCAGCACTTTAGACCGCTGATGGCCGTGTTGTCCAAGTATAATGTGCCATTGATTGTGTTGGGGAGTGTCAGTAAAAACCCTCTCCTCCCCGTCGGGGAATTGAACCCCGGTCTCCCGCGTGACAGGCGGGGATACTGACCACTATACTAACGAGGAACACAAGTGCTTTGAACATTCCTCGTCACGATCAAATACTTTCAGTCCTACAATTTTAAATATGAGGTTGAGACATGACGGGATCCAAAACACCAGCATAAACAGGCGTTGGTGGTTCAGTGGTAGAATTCTCGCCTGCCACGCGGGAGGCCCGGGTTCGATTCCCGGCCAATGCAGCATACACTTTAGCACACTTAGTGGTAGAATTCTCTTCTGTACCGAGGGAGGCCGGCCAATGCAGCTTCCGTCACAATGTGGCCGGGAATTGGAATCACAATGTAAAAATAGTGGCCCGAATTGAGGCACTTCATTAGGTTTACTCAAAACCTCTGTCAGAAGTGGGATTCGAACCAAGTCCTCCAATGGAGACTGCAATCTGAACGCAGCGCTTTAGACCGCTGATGGCCGGCCAATTGAGCCCAGTTGTTTGATCGATTAAGAGGTGTAATGTGAAAACTGGCCATAATTCGACCACCTCTTGCGTAATATCGGGTCAATGTGAGTCGCACAAGTCTAAACGTGAGATTGACACAGGACAACTCACTCTCTATATCCCCTTCGAATCACAATGTAAAAATAGTGGCCCGTATTGAGGCGCTTCATTAGGTTTACTCAAAAAGTGTCAGAAGTGGGATTAGAACCCACGCCTCCAGGGGAGACTGCGACCTGAACGCAGCGCCTTAAACCGCTCGGCCATCCTGACATGGAATTTACACGTTCACCAGAGTTGATCGTTGGCTTGAATTAAAACATCAGTGGATTCTTCTGCACAGATGCCGTGTTGTCCAAGTATAATGTGCCATTGATTGTGTTGGGGAGTGTCAGTAAAATCCCTCTACTCCCCGTCGGGGAATTGAACCCCAGTCTCCCGCGTGACAGGCGGGGATACTGACCACTATACTAACGAGGAACACAAGTGCATTGAACATTCCAGTACCGAGGGAGGCCGGCCAATGCAGCTTCCGTCACAATGTGGCCGGGAATTGGAATCACAATGTAAAAATAGTGGCCCGAATTGAGGCACTTCATTAGGTTTACTCAAAACCTCTGTCAGAAGTGGGATTCGAACCAAGTCCTCCAATGGAGACTGCAATCTGAACGCAGCCAAGTCGCAGTTGTAATGTGTAATTTGGCCACCTCTTGCGGAATATCTGGTCAATGTGAGATTGCCACAGGAAGACACACTCTTTAACGCAGCCAAGTCGCAGTTGTAATGTGAAAACTGGCCATAATTCGGCCACCTCTTGCGGAATATCTGGTCAATGTGAGATTGACACAGGAAGACGCTATTTAGATCCCTTCCGAATCACAATGTAAAAAAATTGGCCCGAATTGAGGCACTTCATTAGGTTTACTCAAAACCTCTGTCACAAGTGGGATTCGAACCAAGTCCTCCAAGGGAGACTGCGATCGGAACGCAGCCAAGTCGCAGTTTTAATGTGAAAATTGGCCGTAATTTGGCCACCTCTTGCGGAATATCTGGTCAATGTGAGATTGACACAGGAAGACACACTCTTTACCACAGCCAAGTCGCAATTGTAATGTGAAAACTGGCCGTAATTCGGCCACCTCTTGCGGAATATCTGGTCAATGTGAGATTGACACAGGAAGACACTCTTTAGATCCCTTTCGAATCACAATGTAATAAAATTGGCCCGAATTGAGGCACTTCATTAGGTTTGCTTAAACACTGTCAGAAGTGGGATTCGAACCCACGCCTCCAGGGGAGACTGCAACCTAAACACAGCGCCTTAGACCGCTCGGCCATCCTGACATGGAATTTGCACCTTTACCACAGTTGACCGTTGGCTTGAATTAAAACCAATAAAAACATCAGTGGCTTCTTCTGCACAGACGCCGCGTTGTCCAAGTATAATGTGCCATTGATTGTGTTGGGGAGTGTCAGCAAACTCCCTCTTCTCCCCGTCGGGGAATTGAACCCCGGTCTCCCGCGTGACAGGCAGGGATACTGACCACTATACTAACGAGGAACACAAACTAATTGAGCATTCCTCGTCATGAGCAAATACTTTCAGTCCTACAATTTTAAATATGAGGTTGAGACATGACGGGATCCAAAACACCTGTAGAAACAGGCATTGGTGGTTCAGTGGTAGAATTCTCGCCTGCCACGCGGGAGGCCTGGGTTCGATTCCCGGCCAATGCAGCATACACTTTAGCACACTTAGTGGTAGAATTCTCTTCTGTACCGAGGGAGGCCGGCCAATGCAGCTTCCGTCACAATGTGGCCGGGAATTGGAATCACAATGTAAAAATAGTGGCCGGAATTGAGGCACTTCATTAGGTTTACTCAAAACCTCTGTCACAAGTGGGATTCGAACCAAGTCCTCCAAGGGAGACTGCGATCGGAACGCAGCCAAGTCGCAATTTTAATGTGAAAATTGGCCGTAATTTGGCCACCTCTTGCGGAATATCTGGTCAGTGTGAGTCGCACAAGTCTAAACGTGAGATTGACACAGGACAACTCACTCTCTATATCCCCTTCGAATCACAATGTAAAAATAGTGGCCCGAATTGAGGCGCTTCATTAGGTTTACTCAAAAACTGTCAGAAGTGGGATTCGAACCCACGCCTCCAGGGGAGACTGCGACCTGAACGCAGCGCCTTAGACCGCTCGGACATCCTGACATGAAATTTACACGTTCACCAGAGTTGATCAATGGCTTGAATTAAAACATCAGTGGCTTCTTCTGCACAGATGCCGTGTTGTCCAAGTATAATGTGCCATTGATTGTGTTGGGGAGTGTCAGTAAAAACCCTCTCCTCCCCGTCGGGGAATTGAACCCCGGTCTCCCGCGTGACAGGCGGGGATACTGACCACTATAATAACGAGGAACACAAGTGCATTGAACATTCCTCGTCACGATCAAATACTTTCAGTCCTACAATTTTAAATATGAGGTTGAGACATGACGGGATCCAAAACACCAGCGAAAACAGGCATTGGTGGTTCAGTGGTAGAATTCTCGCCTGCCACGCGGGTGGCCCGGGTTCGATTCCCGGCCAATGCAGCATACACTTTAGCACACTTAGTGGTAGAATTCTCTTCTGTACCGAGGGAGGCCGGCCAATGCAGCTTCCGTCACAATGTGGCCGGGAATTGGAATCACAATGTAAAAATAGTGGCCCGAATTGAGGCACTTCATTAGGTTTACTCAAAACCTCTGTCAGAAGTGGGATTCGAACCAAGTCCTCCAATGGAGACTGCAATCTGAACGCAGCCAAGTCGCAGTTGTAATGTGTAATTCGGCCACCTCTTGCGGAATATCTGGTCAATGTGAGATTGCCACAGGAAGACACACTCTTTAACGCAGCCAAGTCGCAGTTGTAATGTGAAAACTGGCCATAATTCGGCCACCTCTTGCGGAATATCTGGTCAATGTGAGATTGACACAGGAAGACGCTATTTAGATCCCTTCCGAATCACAATGTAAAAAAATTGGCCCGAATTGAGGCACTTCATTAGGTTTACTCAAAACCTCTGTCACAAGTGGGATTCGAACCAAGTCCTCCAAAGGAGACTGCGATCGGAACGCAGCCAAGTCGCAGTTTTAATGTGAAAATTGGCCGTAATTTGGCCACCTCTCGCGTAATATCTGGTCAATGTGAGTCGCACAAGTCTAAACGTGAGATTGACACAGGACAACTCACTCTCTATATCCCCTTCGAATCAAAATGTAAAAATAGTGGCCCGAATTGAGGCGCTTCATTAGGTTTACTCAAAAACTGTCAGAAGTGGGATTCGAACCCACGCCTCCAGGGGAGACTGCGACCTGAACGCAGCGCCTTAGACCGCT